CCCCCTTTCCATCTGTAAAATCTTCATAAATGAACCGAACAAAAACCAAGAAAGAAAAATTCATTTTTTGTACGCACCGGTTTTGCTGCAATGAATCTTTGTCTTCGTTCCAGATTCCACCTCCTCATCTTCTAACTTTGTCCTCGTCTCTCTTTCTTTGTGTCTCTCTCAACTCTCAAGCCCCACCTCCACACAATTCCTTCTATAAAGTTGAATGTGTACTCATCTCCGTTAGACACTCCTCCAAATCATGACCCATTAACAGTTTCTTGGAGTCTTCCTCTCTTGCTCATCTTCTAGCCGTCCCTTCCAGACTCTACTTTTTAAAAACAGCCTCCACACCAAACCTTTTGGACTTTTTTTGTGCACATTACCGTTTATTCAAAAATGAGAGAGAGTACATCTCCAAGAAGCTTAAAGACAATGACCAATTGGATTTTTCAAGAAATTCAAGCGTTTGAAGCCTCTTGAGCCCTCCCCGGGGATTCTTGGTTGCTTCTTTTTCAGTGTTTGCTTGATATTCTGTCTCTTTTTATTGGATTATAGAACTGTGACCCGAAGGTTTCCCTCTGGGGGGCAGCTTGGGTTGGTAAAGTGGTTTGGTTTTAATGGTTCATCTTCAGGTGGGAATGTGAGGGTGGGGTTTCTTGAAGAAAGTGGTGGTCGGTGTGATGTTTTTGATGGTGATTGGGTCTGGGATGAGAGCTATCCACTGTATAATTCCCAAGATTGCTTGTTTGCAGATGGTGGTTTTCGGTGTTTGGAAAATGGTAGGCCTGACAGTTTCTACACTAAATGGCGCTGGCAACCTAAATATTGCAACTTGCCCAGGTTTATTTTAAACTCTCTGTCCAGTAACAATGTTTTGGACTTTAATTTAGTAGGAAATAATGTAGTATAGGCTTTTTTTCTTCCTATTCCTAATCTTCAATATTGTTGTTTGTTGTAGTTTATACTAAGGAGAACATTGGGATTCTTTTTCCTTAATATGTCTTAGATTCTGTTTTTGGTTAATAGAAGTTTCTATTAGCAAATTATGTGTCTTTTGTTGCTGCTGAAAAGTTTGGTAATCTGTTGGATTGAGCCTTCTTTCTGGTAATTGCGTGTTTCTTCTACTTCTTTGTATTTGATTGTCGTCTTTCTCTGTCTGTGTATTGTTTCTAAGTCAAGCTCATGTCTTTAGGTGCCTCACTCGCGCTACTCAACAAGAAGCCACGGTCAATGCTGAGTATATTGTACATACACACATGTTGAATACTAATATTTCATTAAACTCTGGCTGAAAAAGTTTTGTATCAAAATGGTTTTATCTGTTGATGCAGCAATTCAAGTTCAACAATCCTTCTAAAATCCCAAATCACTTGCCTTTTCTGGATCAACTTTCCGTTATATAGCTGTCAATGTTTTGGTTGACTACTAAATGATTGAGAAAATGTTTTGGTAGGTTGTGAAGTTGTCAAAAAAATAAATAAATAATAATTTAGTTTGACTTTGTTCTTTGTTCTTACATCATGTTCCATGCATCCCGGAAGAGGGTTTCTTATTTTCATGGCTAGTTTTCCCCCAATTACAAATAATTAAAGGTTTCCCTGTATTTTTGAATCTATTTGTGATTCAACCTGGGAGACAAATTTGTAACTTTTGTGGGATTAAGTATGAAGAATATGAAATTTCTTACATGGGATGTTTTCTCTTCATGAAACAGGTTTGATGCAAAGAATATGTTGGAAAAACTGCGTAACCGCAGGCTGGTATTTGTTGGAGACTCAATTGGAAGAAACCAATGGGAGTCTCTCCTCTGCATGCTTTCTTCTGCTGTTCGTAATAAGACTAAAATATATGAGGTGAATGGGAACCCAATCACAAAGCATTCAGGGTTCCTAATTTTCAGGTTCAAGGATTACAACTGCACCATTGAATACTTCAGAGCTCCATTTCTAGTGCCTCAGGGCCGGGCGCCTGCTGGAGTTCCGGAGAAGGTGAAGACTACGTTACGAGTGGATCAACTGGATTGGAGCTCCCTACAGTGGAAAGGTGCAGATGTGCTGGTTTTCAACAGTGGACATTGGTGGAATTATGAGAAGACCATTAGAGTGTAAGCATAATTTTTCTGAAGTCTCTTCCGGTGGGTTAAGATATTTTTAAATTTTCTTTCTTTTAGATTCAGTTTCCCCATAAATCAGGATATTGTCGAATTACCTGTTTTGGAGTATACTACACTGGTAGAGACTTCTGATTAACCTCACAACCATGGGCACAATGCCTGGTGGGATGACATTGATTCCTGTTACGTGCCTTGAAATATAAAATATTGAAGTTATTATCTTATGAAAGGCTTCTTCATCTAAAGTTGAGGTGCATGCCCCATCTGATAATTCTCACTTCATATGAATGATAAGATTATGTAATTTGGAGATAGATCTGTAACTTTGATGTAGGAAGTTTAAGAGTGGTGAGATAAGGGGGAAGAAAAACATATGCTAATGTACTCAATCAAAGTGTTCTGAATCAACTAAGATATTCTAAGGGGAATTCCAAGTTAACTTTGGTGTCTACATGGAAAAGAAAAGGAGTGCTTTGCATGTGTTGTAGTTCCATTAAGGACAGGGTGAGCGAATGGTAAACATCATTAACATTGGTGGTGAGATACTAGAACTGTAATGCATTAAGTTAGGAGTTGTCAGCCTTTGATATGTTGTTGATTAATCACAGACAATGATCAAAATTTCGTTTCGGTGCATTGTTTCGGTTGCCTAGAAAATAGAAACATTTCGATGTGTTTTGAAAACGTTTCGATTTGTTTTGAAAACATAAAGAAAAAATAAAAAATTTAATAATTATTTTTCCAAAATATTTATCGAAATATACCAAAATATCTTTAAATACCTTGAAACATTTGTGCAAATGCATTGACACATTACAAAACACTTTAAAACACTATGAAATACCTCAAAGTATTTAAAATTTCGATTCCATCACTGATTTGTTTCGGTCTCCTTGGAAACGGAAACGTTTCGAAGTGAAATTTTGATCCATTAAGATAATGCTCCTATAAAATCAGATTTTCTGCTAGGCTTTTTATTTTCTTCTTGGTTTGTGAATGATATGGTGTTTCTTTACAAATGATGGGAAAGTAAAGAATAGATATCTGATAGTTTTAATTGTATTATAACCAAAATATCTATTGTAACATACTTGGGACCTCAAATCAAGGTTCACCCTATGAATGAGGGGATTCTAATCTTGGTGCCCGCTTCTTAGTAAGCCTACACCACTAGGTCAACACATGTTTGCTTGTCAAATAGAGTGAGGGGGAATTTTATGGCCCTCATTGGGTCCTTTAAATCAAGGGGACATTTAATATCTTTGAGAACAGAAATTAATAACAAGATGGACTTTGAGAGAGAATCCTTTTCTTGACTTCTCTACAGGTTTTTTGGCAAAGAATTTGAAGGATGTATTGAGGGATTCCATAGTTAGAGATTGGGTGGTAGTAATTACTTCTGGGACATATAGGTGTGATGATTTAACTCGAGAAGGAACCACTTTTATTAGGATTTTGTTTTTGCGTTTTGCCTTCCCAAAAATTGATAGTTCAGTGAAGATTTTTTGCCATAAGTAAACTTTCAGCTCTCCTGCAAGTTAATGCGCCCTTACATTCAGAACTAACATATTAGACTAAAGTTTCTGTATCGAATGTCTTTTTATATCCCCAGAGGAGAAAAGGGACCCTGATGCTTACTTTTATGATAGCTTCTCTCTGCTTCGCACTTCCATTGTTTGTAGTAATTTTATTGCTCAAGCTAGTGGGATGTGGAGAATTTAAACAAATGTGTGATTTATGGATATTGGATGCACTGTTGATTGTGTGTATCTCTTGAAACTCTATATCTTGATGTTGCTTGGGAAGTTACCTTTGGATCATCTTTATACAAACTATGTTTCATCTAACCTCTGGATCCATATGCTTGTCAGGGGTTGTTACTTCCAAGAAGGGGAAGAGGTGAAGATGGAGATGAGTGTAGAAAGTGCGTATCGGAGGTCAATTCAGACACTGGTGGATTGGGTAGGTCGTGAAGTAGATATGAACAAGACTCGGGTCTTCTTCCGAAGCTATGCTCCTGTACACTTCAGGTTTGTCTCATAACTTTCTATCTTGGATATCCTCGGTCCAGTTACAGGTGGTCTCACTTAACAGTTCATCTACTAATTTAATATTTCAGTTTTTGCTCCAATTGTGTAAAAAGAGCACCCAGTGAACGATTACTCCGGAGATATACTCAGATTGTGTGACACCACAATTTATGGGCAAATACTGTTGGACTTTTTCACCAAAATTCATGTTCGGTACTTAAAAGAAAATTTTAAACATAATTTAACAATTGAAAAGCACATTTATGTTATGTAGGGGCAGTTTTTCTTTGCTGATAGTTCTCTTTCACTCTCTATGGGTTTCAAGCTTTTCAGAACCTTTTAAGACTATCAGGCTTTCAGCAATTGGATGATTAGCAATATTATGCTTACTTTCTTCTCTGCCATCATATACTCTACTTGTAATATGTGTCTTTTTGAAACTAGAGTATGGGGCACAAACAATGTGTGTGCAGAGGTTGAATGATGTTACTAACAAACTAGCAAGAATTGTAACCTGTATACTTAATTGTGGAAGAGATTTATTTGGGAAAAAGCATAAAAACATAGTTGGTTTGTCATTTTGGTCTTATGTTGAATGGAACTGACTTCTGCTAATTTCTCTCCTCTGTAATTGCTTGTATTTATCAACACTTTCTTTCTCTGTCTTAAAAAACTGCCTCCTTCCCATCTATCAAGGTAGTTATCATCGACAGTTTGAAATTCCACAAATCATTTCTTCTCCCTTTTCGATCAATTTAGTTGATAGTTATTTTGAAACTTCCCATAAGTTGTAATGCTTGAACTCAAAATGTTTGAAAAGGAAAATGAATTCCTTAGTTTATTCTGAAATAAGAAAGAGAGTATGCATTCCTAATTCCTAAACCATAAGAGTGTTGGTCTTTTGGGATGCAAAAAATATGACGAGTTTTCGTGGATTGTTTTTCAGTTTACTACCCAATGCCAATTGGGTTATTGACCTTCCCTTTGCTTTGTTGAGGTGAATTATGTAGCATGAATTTTTATTTTTATTGAGCATATATTGTTGAGGTGGACTATTGAGGTTTGGGGAAACTGGATGGCAGGGGCCAGAGTAAAAAAGTTACCAATAGCTGGCAGGCAGCATCATTAGGTCTATGCTGTTGCATTCAGCAAAGAATTTGGTACTCTTTTGAAGGGGAGGAGTCGCCAGTTATAAAGCTGAAGCCTTTATGATATAATCATATAATTGCCTTTGGCTCGCAAAAAACTCTCTTCAACCCCTTACAACCCTTGTGAATTTAATATCGCACTTCCCATTAGGAGAATGTTCGGATTTTGCAAATATTTTATTGTGGATAGCCTGTTGTCTACCTTTCAGGTTTTGTTTCTTGGCTGAGGTTAGTAACAATAGCTGCAAGCACGTAATTCCATTTGTTGCTTCTATATTTTTCCTTCGGGTGATAGTACCTTAAAGTGAAAGAGCCTGGCTTTATCAATATATCTCAAGTCCTATCGACATTCAATGTGTGCTTCCTGTGAAAACAATCTGTGGAGGCAATGGTAACACAAAAACATAGATATGAGAAGCATTATCAGGGTAATAATCACTAAAAATCATGAGTAACTCGTCAGCCCAAGTATTTTGATTCTTGTAGATTGTTGAACCTGTGTCTAGAGCTATTGAAAAACTCATGGAGATAATTAGTGTGCTAATCATTATAATCACCAACTTTAACAGCGCTGGGGACTGGAAGACTGGTGGTAGGTGTCACCTGGAGACAATGCCGGACCTGGGTTCATTACCAGTTTCGTCTGAAACATTTGGTCAACTAAAAGCTGTTTCCGACGTGGTATCAGAACATTTACAGAAGTCAAATGTAACGCAAATGGATGTATTAAATGTGACCAGTTTGACAGCACTGAGGAAAGATGGCCACTTGTCTATATATTATTTTGGGCCAAACAACGGAATTGCTCCTCTCCACCGACAAGACTGCAGTCACTGGTGCCTGCCTGGTGTTCCTGATACATGGAATGAGCTTCTGTATGCACTCTTCCTAAAAGGGGAGTACAATCGCATACAAAATTCAAATTCAACGCAATCTGCTCCTGCTCCAGTGTGATTGGTGGAGATAGCTTGTTACTACGACAGAAATTTTAAAGGATGCCAAACATATTAGAACCTTTGCAAGTGCCTGAAACTAATACAATGATTTCAACCTGCTGGTTTCACCATACTTGGCTTTATTTTAGTAGATACAAAACAGAGAGTTGGCTGCTTTCATCATACCTGGCCCGAGCCTGTCTGGTTTTCCCCACCAACCAAGAACTTCCATTGTACAGCTCTGCTTAACCTTGTATAGGACAGAAGTCTCCTTGTTCTACTTGGTGATAAACAGTCACGACTCGTGCAAAGAAGTGACCTGCATTGATCAGTCCAGCAATGAGCCTGCGCTTAATTATTAAAGAGGAACTATACTTGAGAATTTTTGCGGTTTTTGGATGAAAGACAGGTTTTGGGCAGCAAATTCTTCATAATCAGGTGATGCTGATGATTTATTTTATTAGAATCTCTTAATTTTAACTTTTGTATAGGCAGATTCTTTTTGCTCTTTTGCAAGTTGTTAGCTGACAGGAAGATACACAAAAGACGTTAGATTGTGGTCAAATATTATCATTCATCAATGGATAAGGAAAATTATACATGTACCAGTTCATGACCTTATCTAATGTATGTTTTTGAATGTCATTGTTCTAACCCAAGGGTATATGAAGTGGCTATATGAACGAGCTATAAATTCAGACGTTTTGAGCTTAAATCTTGACAACTCTTTGGAGTCACGTCAGGATTCATGAGGGATTTATTCCTCATGAATTCTCTAGTCTCGGCGGCGTGGATAACTTTTCTTTGACCGGACTGGGGAAGAGTTCAAATGATGTGCCCATAAGATAATTTGGACATTCTTGACCGTTGAATTGAAAAAAAAAAAATGTCATTATTTTTTACTTTCTTTTATCAAATCCTTATGGACAAGAAAGCAGTTTTGTATAAAAAATATAAGAATAAACGTTTTGAGGGTAATGTCTTTGTCCATGAAAATTGACAGGAATCATACAATATTCAATGAAATTTTCAGATTAAGATAGACTTTTTTTGGTTTAGGACGTAATAGACTTGAGTGGGTTGATTTTTTTTTTTTTTTAACAGTTGGGACCCACTCATTTTCACCTTCTAACTCTTGGAAAAGCTGGATCAGACAAATTGGCTTGTGCCAATATCTATTAGGTCATGGCACTGCATTTTGGAGGGAGACAACGAATGAAAAACGTTCAATTCTTATCTTTTTTTGGTGATGGAAACTCATGTAGGATAGAGTCCTAAAATGTTTCCAATCTGATGAAAACTTACAAGGATAAACTTCCCCATTTTATTTTCCTAACAAGACAAAATTAGTTGGTTGACAATTTTTAACACAGACCCGTGTATCTGATACGAAGTGATATATACAAAGTTATCACGTATGGATATAGTCTTAATGGTTTGGGTCATAAATTAGATAACAACTTAGACTAGTTAATACACGAGTCAAAATCAATCCTGTTATACATGACATAAACCTGTCTATACACAATAGATATTTAGTATGAATTTAACTATAAATTGATGAGTTGGAGACCTAATGTAGAATAAACTAATGATGCAGAATAAATGACAAGAATTTTAGTATTTTATTTGAATATAATCAATTCCATTCAATTAGGAAAATTTAGGAGATTTTACTGTATTTCCTAATTTAATTTATTTTTTGGTTTAATTATAATTTTATTTTATTTGGTTTCCTAATTTATTTAAGATTCTAGTTTTCTAGTTGCTTTAGGGTTTCTACAACTATGTAAAAATCTTGTAGGCCTTGCGCCAAAGCAGTTTTTGGATTATTCAAGAAATTCCTAATTTTTTTGGTATTCTTATGAATTAACAGAGTTATTGAAATTTTTAAGACTAGTATTCTTTGTGAATCAACAAACCTATAGTAAAAATTTAAATCTGTATTTGTGCGTAAATCAACGATTTATTTTCTTTATCTATTTTTGTTCCTTATACTCTCATTTCTGCCCATTTTCCCGTAGCAGGATCGGTGATAAATACTAACACAACATAACACCGACGCAATACTACACTACCCATATGCCACAGCCAGTCATTGATATTATGCTTGGCTTCAATTTGCACTTTGCTAATTTCCAAATGGAGATGATCAATGTCAGATGCTATGCACTGGAAACATAAAACAAAATAACCAATTATGAGTTTAATTTTAGCTTCATGAGAAAATATAGAGCAATAGAAGTCATTGTTATGGTAATACAAGTAACTCAACTTGTTATTGAAGAAGGCAATGCTCTCACACCTTTTACAAGTTCCACAAAAATACAAATGTCTCATTTTCAATCGTACATTTTCCCACATTTAAGGATCTTTCTTTTTCTTTTCTTTTATACCATTCTTCTTATACATACATGTTATGTGCCAAAAAAATGGCTTTAGTGATCACATACAACACCATATGATCATATGTTAAAATTAATGGCTATCTGTTTATTTAGTTTCAAAACCAGCAAGTTCACCTAGTTCTTCCACCTTTTGTGCTAATACCTCAATCTTTTCTACCATCTCCATCAACTGGAACAGAAAGCTTGCAATGGCAACCCCTTCACCATTCTCTGATGCTTCTCCTACCTTGGAAGGAAATGGGACTCGACTCAGCTCTAGTTTCATGGGCTGCAATTTTGGGAATATCAACACCTTGGCCCTGCACTTTTTCATTATTGTGATGCTCTCTCCAAGCTCTCTCAAAGTCCATGCAAGTGACAACCCTACCAATTCACACGGTTCTTTGATCGACTGTTTTAGTGTTGATGTGGCCTGATGATAAAAATTTGATCATACCAAATTAACCATCTAACTTATGACATGTTGTAAGAAAAAATTGACATTTATCGTATTTATTACTGATTAGTTTAGTGAAAAATCATGAACAAGAATGAATATTCGATACCTGTGTAGGTGATTGAAGACATCCTTTCATTGAAAAAATGGTTACAGCAAGCTCTCTAAGATCCTCTCCAATCTCTAGGTATTTCTCCCAAGGGTAAGAGAATCCAAATTTTCCATGCCATGGCTCCCATCTTGCAAAGTTTGCCTGATACACAAAGTTAGATTCTCGTTATATTTGTCATTGATTTAACTGTGGGTCCTATTATTTATTAAAACTTATTATCTATTCAATAATAGTGATTTATCAAGTCAAGTTTTAAAGTCAATTTTTTAAGTTTGTATAGCACTGCTCTTTACTTGAGGAAAATGCTAAATACATCTGCTATTAATGATCCATTTTGCCGAAAAAATCGATGCTGGCCCAACCACAAGGCCAATAAAGTCTGGGCTTTAGGTCCCACAATTAAAATTCGGCCCAATAACTTTGAAATCGTGGGTTCAAACTTGATGGTATCTACTTTGTACAGATAATATCAAAGGTTATGTCGCGCTAATTGTTTAACTTAGCTTAATATAACTTACTTTGTCCAACAAAATAGCTATACAAGAAAAGAAATATACCAGTGACTGGTCATTGGACTTTGAGTGTAAAACTGTCATGCAGGTGGTGAAATCAACTGTTTTTCCCTTTTCATCCACTGTTTGGAAGTACTGCTCCAAGCATCCTACACATCAATCACATGAGAATTTCAGCAGTTTGATAAAATGGCTTAAATCAATAGGTAAAGAAGGTGGGATTATGATTTTTATTATTGGTAAAGCCAACTTCACAATATAAAAAGGGGTAAATTAGGTCTTGTTTGGTTTGCGTCTCAAAAAATAGTATCTGAAAATTATTTTGAGTGTTTTTTGTTCTTTAAAATTTATTTGGTTATTTGATTCCAAAAGCAGGTTTACGGTATAGAAAATAATTAAAACAGAAATGTTGTAATAGTAAAAGTGTAGACGTCGTGGTGGTGGTAAAAGTATGGTGGTAGTGTTGATGGAATTGTGGTGGTGGGAGTGTGGTGGACATGGTGGTGGAAGTGTGGTGGTGGAATGTTCATGGTGGAGGTGGTGATGTTTTCTAAATTCTGGAAAAATTATTTAAAAAAACACACAATCAATTTCTAATTTGTTCTCTAAATCTATCTAATTTTTGTTCTCAATTTTTAAAAAACAAAAACAAAAAGTAACTGACCTAACAGTTTTTCTCTCGGAAACTAATTTTGAAAATAGAAAACAGTTTCTGAAATACAAATCAATCAGGACCTAAGTTTTTGTTGATTAGCCTAAAATTTATTATCTATGAAAAATGTTTGCGGTATAAACTAAAGCTAGAGCATTGGAGATTTGGGCTTTCTGTATATAGATATGGGGTGTACCTTCAATACAGCAAGCAAGTTTTTCAAACTTAGTAGCTGCAGAGTGGTGAAGTTCATCGCTAGCCCACATTGGGAAGACGAGTAAGCTGGTGAATATGCATACAGCAAAACCCATACCAATTGTGGAAAGACGATCACGGGCTAATTTCATCACTTCATCAGCACGAACACCAGATACCACCACCAGATTGAAGGTAAGGATGAAGATCATGGCTCCATAGTCATATCTTCTCTTAATGCTTGGCACCAATCGAGAGTACGTTGCAGCAGCAGCTATCCATGAAAATAATAGATGATCAGAGTAATGTTTTTCTCTATATGGTCTCTTGGGCGTGTTTTGAATTTTGTTGTATATCTTATTTATTAAAAAAAAAGAAGGAAAGATCGACGATTTACCAGCATAAGCTAAACAAAAAGGCAGAAGGTACCACATCATGTCAAATAATTAGTTACTTTGTTGCTATGCAGTGAAATATATGTACTGTTTTGTCAGCAAATAAATTTGTTTTGGGAGGGAAAAAATATATATTAATGTAGTAAGTTTGAGAGAACAAACAAAAGCTAAACAAGAGCTTTTTTCTTACCAAAGATAAATACAGAAGTGCTAACAGCAATGGCACTGCTAATTCTACCGTGAACTTCATCGGCTAAAATTGCAGCCAAACACCCCAATCCACCACCTAACATAGTTCCAATTCCGCGATTTATGCCCTTGCTAAGCGTAGCACCTGACAAATATATTATCAAACTTATCATTATCATGATCATCAAACTAGAAAAGAAAATATAGGTATTTTCGGATATTTACTAAAGAACTAGGAAGAATTTATGCAATTCAATCAATCTATATCCCTAACTTAGTAAATTAATGACAAATTAACCTGCAGAAAACTCGAAGATAACCACAACAGTCATTATAGCCCACATTGCATTGTCTCCAACTTCCTCGTACAGAGGATCCAGGAGATAGAAAAGTGAAACCAACACCAAGGCAATTCCAACCTTGACACTATGAATCACTTTTATCATGTCAGGCTTACATTTTCCCTCTACAAGAGAAGAACCAATAGAACGTAAAGAGAATTGAAATTTCTTATTCTTGTTGGAAACAATCCCATCTCCATTGGGGATAGTTACTATGGTTGAACTCATGGTTAACTGTTTCATTCAATATGTTTCTCTCTCTCTCTCTCTCAAACTGAGGATGGCTTTCTTGTCGAGAAGTTGAGTTTGAGAGAAACCAGTTATATATACAGCCATTCCATGAATCATGGTAGCAAGTGG